TGGCGCACCCATGTTGAATAGGCTGGATTTTCGGTTGTAGTAGAATTGGTTGTGATTTTAGGAGAGGGTGGTGGATGAGTACCATCCACAAATTTATATAGATCGTAGCCAATTAGGGTTGCTTGAGTTTGAGATTTCCATGGAATGTAATTGCTTGGTGTGAGCTTGATTGTGTTGTTGAAGTTGATTATGGTGAAGGGTTTTGTAGGTTCGTTGTTGTTGGGAATGGTAGCATCATTGTTGTTGGTCATGGTTGATGAAAAGTGTTTGAGAGTATAGAGGAGGATCAATAAAGCTCTGATACCATGAAAGGGTTGAGAGTAAGATGATTCCTTCATTAACAGGGGAGATGGCTTTTAAAATAGCCAAGAACAGCCCAACGTATATTACACATATATTACAGAGGATATTTGCAATTAAGGAGATTCCACTAAACTTAGGAAACTAAATAACAAACAAATATACATAAGCAATTATATCAGAATAGAATATATGCAGAATCACTTTTATACAGGGGAAGATTGAGGAGGATATTTCTCCTTATCACGTTTGTCTCTAATGTATGTGGATTGGTCGAGGTCGACGATATTCACAATCATGATACAAACTCAAGACAACCAAAATTTCCCTGAAACAAAAACCCCATAGAAGAAAGTGGTAGCATGTGTTCAAATATTGTTACATCATGTTTTTATAGCATGTAAGCATAATATGATGATCTGGAGTGGTGATGTGGTTAAAAGATAAGCATTTTTTTAAAAATCAAATAAACTTTTATTTGACTATTTAAATGAAATAAATTATAAAAAATATACAAGTTGTTAAAGGTAAAGTTACAAACATTTAAAGCAGAATTAATCTAATGGGACCATTTGTTTTCTCTTTTCTCTCGTCAAGGAAAAATAACGAGACAATTATAGTACATGTCCTTAGCGAGCCAAAAGTAGTGGTAACGAGTTTTTAATGAAGGCTTAGCGAAGGGAGTTGGCGAGCTACTCCTTTCAGCCTAAGTAAGTTTGAACCAACATAAAACTTATCTAAAAGGATCCTAGTCTTACATCCTTTATTCCTTTAGCATGATTTGGTTAAAGCGAAAACAAATATTTTTTGTGCGTGTGTGTGCATATATATATATATAGGTTCCGTTAAGATTAAAAATAAAATAGAGATCTTGAGATTCAACCTCAGCCACATAATTTCACATCTGCCACACTAACCCTCCGACGTATCGGCACGACAAGCATGTTATAATCATAAATGATTATATAGCGTCGCCCGTTCCTTTCTCCTTTGCTACCATCCCCACCACCACAACCGCCACTGTCACCCCCACTACCTCTGACACCATTCGACCCCACTACTGTCATCTCCGTCACTTGTACCACCGCCACCTCTGCCATCACCACATTTTCTACTAACAACTGTCATAATCATATATGATTACTCAATCTGTGAACAGAGATATATGTATAATCATTTATGATTAGGCATACCCCACTGTTGCCGGTACGCTGGAGTGTTAGAGCGGCAAACGAGAAATATGTGAGAATTTAAATTTGAGGTATTAAAATCACATTTAACCATGTAGGTTGTTGTTTTTGGCAATTCTGGTTATGAGTCGCCATGTACACGGGTTGTGGGAATTTCATTTGTAAATCAAACAGGGTGTGTACTTTTATGTATCCAAACCTTAAGAACCCTAAAACCTGATTTTTGGGCATTGGGAAGGCATTCAATCAAATCTATTGATGCCTTGGGGGTAAGAAATTTATGTTTAAGGATTTAGAAGAGTTAATTAAGTGTAGTAACCTAATTAGCATATCATTAAGTGGATTTAATTATATGTCTTGTTATGCTTATATAGGTGTTCAACATTCATTATGTTTCTTATAATGATGTTTATATAGGTATTCCACATTCCTTATAATTTTCTTGGTGTCGGGGGTTCTAATGGAGGATATCGAGATGTTGGCTCTTCATATGGGGTATAGAGCTATAAAGTTTTCTTTTACTTATTTGGGAATGTCGATTGGTCAGACGATGGATCGGATAGCAAGTTGGTGAAAAGTTGTTGATAATTCAAGAAAAAATTGTCTACTTGGAAGGTAAAGATGTTATAGGTTGGTAGTTGTTTTACTCTTATTAAATCTGTTTTTGGTTAGTCTACCTACGTATTATATGTCATTATTCAAAATGTGGGGAGTTCTATGTAGATTTTTGGAATCCACTAGTTCTAGATTTTTTGTTTTGGCGGGGGGAAGATAATCTAAAGAAGATTAGTTGGATAAAGTGGGATAGGGTGATGTCTGCATTTGGGAATGGTGGATTGGGAGTGAGTAGTCTATCTAATTTTTAATTATGCTCTTTTGAAAAAATGAAGATGAATGTTCTGTTCAAATGATATAATTTTGTGGGTCAAGGATGTCAAAGCTATTCACGGTTCACATGGGTGTTTAGATGTGTCAAAGCCGACAAGTTAGCAGCATAAACAAAGATGAATTTGTGAATGAGAAATACAAGTTTCCTATCTTCATAGGAATCAATAGGAGAATGGAAAATTGCTCAAGTGGGCTGTTGGGCGTAATCGTAAGAAACATTAAACCATTCTTCAGGTTGATGAGCCGGAACCTGAAATAGTTTCCAATGAACCACTACCCACACCAGAAAGATTGCCTGGGACTGATGCTTACAGCGATGTGGCCTACTTGTATACTAGTTTTCTATGGGGCTACCCAGAATCTATATGGGCTTAGGCCTGCCCAAATGATGTTCAGCGGTCTCTACCTAAGTAGCTGTGGCCCATGATACAAAAGACCCACAACTAGTTAATCACTCCGTGCCTTACCTTCTAACTAACCTCTTCGATTTCGCTTATCCTAACAGTAATTGATTAGGCGTAGCTGTTGAAGCTGGTGGTTGTTCACACAGGCAGGCAGTGTTATGTGATTATGAGGGTGTATTTGCTTCACAAGGTAGTTAGTTTGCTCATGAAACAGGCATGATAGTCTTCACTCACAGCAACTTGAGTGCGGAGAAGGGGTGGTCTTACGGAAGGTCGAAGAAGGACCACTGCTTTGTTCCAGGGGTGAAGTAGCTGCTTCGAGTTGACAGTTATGTGGACTTGGGCTAGTATTATTCAAGATTATATCTGGTTAAATAAAAAGGTATTAGTTTGCATTTTTTGCAAAAGGGGGTGGAGGATTGTGGTAACACCTATTTTTAGGAAGAGGTTTAGCTAGGAAGTGTGAAAGTGAGGAGTGGGTTTGACAGACTTTATGTGTTGGAATTGGACAAATATTTTTCGTGCGAGATAGATTGATGCATAGGAGTTGGAGAAGGTCGATCAGAGGGGATGTTGAACTTAACCAACTAACCGAATTGTAACCTTCTGTAGTTCGGCTGCCAATCCGAATGATGCGGATAAGTGGTTGTGTATATTGGATAATTATGGTTGGTTTTCTGTTAGTAGCACTCGACATCATATAGATGAGGTTTTCTTAGAAGTTGGAGTTGTTGAGAGGAGATGGATCAAGTGGATACCTATCAAAGTTAATAGTATAGTTTGGAGATTAACTTTGAATAGACTTCTTACTAACTTTGCTTGCTAGTGACATTGATGTTGAGATTTATTTGCACCCGTCCTGTCAATGAGCTGAGGAGAATATGATTCATCTATTTGTCAAGTGTGAAGTGACGGCTAATACATTGATTGTGATTTTGAGATGGTTAAATTTACAAATTGTGGTTTCTAATTTTTCAGATTTGATTGCTTTGGTGAATGGTTTGGCGATGTTTAAATGGAAAAGAAAATTGGTGGAGGTCAGTCTTATCCTCGATATGGGTGCTTTGGTGGTATCGAAACGACACAATCTTTGATCATAATTTATTTCGAATAAGTATGATTGTTGATATATTTTTTCCTCATATCAATGGTTTAGTAACTAATAAGCGTGAATGGCTTAGAAATAAGTTAGATTGAAACATGAAAACTCCGATTATAAATATCTGTTTATTTTTTTTTGAAAACGATGAATATATTATAAAAGAAGCCAATATAGCAAGTAGCTATGAGGAGGCAAAAAAAGGAACAAAAACAAATAAGTGTAATGATTTAAGAGGAGAATGGTGAAACTATCCACTCTTCTCTTCACTGTTACATATTACAATTCCCTATACATTTCAACCAGAGATACACCAAGGACTTTATGTTCTCCTCAGCTTTTGAATTTTCTCTTGCTCTTTGTTCAGAGAGTAATTTTTTCTTTAATTGTTCGGCCGCTAAAAAAATTTAAGAATTTCATGGTTTTGGGAACGAACTGATTCCTTCTCTTGATTTAAATTATAGACAAAATTGTAAAAATGGTCCCTGTGGTATGCAAATTTTTGGGGTTTTAGTCCAAACCTCGATTTTTTTGGATTCATGGTCCTTTGGAGTGGTTTGTATGTGAAAATAGTCCCTCCGAAAATTGAAATGACTATAATACCCTTGGGGTATTTATTTTTCATTTTCTTTTATTTTTTTTTAAATTTAATATTTATTTATTCATTTAATAATTAAAAAAATAACAGAGGACCCATTCTCTCTCTCTCTCTCTCTCTCTCTCTCTCTCTCCGATTGAAAGGAAATTAATGGGAAGAAATTCAAGCAAAGAAGCTCAAGAAAAGGATACATCTCCTCAATCGGAAATCCAACACAATGCTCATGCCCCAAATCCAACTTCGTCTGTGAAACCCACCTTCTAGATATCTGCATCGATTGTGCCAACTGTGCCTACCGGAAATCGCCCCTCCACAATCCATCACTGCCACCGTCGTCCTCTATCTCCTCTTCTTCTCCGACGACTTCGCCTCTGCAAACCCTATATCGACGAACACGACAACAAACCCGACTCAGTTCGTCCCACTTTCTCAGTTCGTCCTTCACCGTTCGCCCCCTTTCTTAGATTTGCATCCCTCCCAAACGACGAGTTGAAAATCGGAGTGGCAGTGTTTTCGAGTTGCTAAGGTTTGCAGCGTCTCGCTTCTTCTTCAGATCTCTGAGCAGACACATACACTCCATATGTGACTCGTCGAAGGCGGCGAAGGTGAAGCCAGAGAAACCTTTTCTCTTTACGGAGGTTCCTCTCCCTCCTTCTCCGACGACATCGTTTGCAAAAACCTAATGCAGCCGCCCTTCTAGGGTTATCTCCGAGAACGTAATCCACCTGAGGCGGTGGGTGGAAGTTAAGTAATCGGAGTAGATAGAGAGGAGGAAAGAGGCGATGGTGGATTTCAGATTCATACACACACATATCGATTTCAAAAATGAAAACATACACATACAAATCGATTTTTGGGGATGAACATACATAAATAGATTCCAGAACGAAACTTACACATGCATACATACATAAATCGATTATAGATTGGATTTATGGGAGAACGAAACTTACACATGCATACATACATAAATCGATTATAGATTGGATTTATGGGTTTTCTTTTGAGTTTCAGAAAAAGATTTAGATTTATGAGTATGTGTTTGTTCTTGAGCACTATGTGTTCTTGAGCATTATGTGTGTTTAGAATTAAAAACCAAAAAAAAAATGGAGAGACTCAGAATAGGTGTGCATGAATGTATTACCATGTTTGTTGAGAGAGAGGCCCTCTCATTTTTTTTAATTATTAAAATGAATAAATAACTATTAAACTTAAAAAAAATAAATTTAAAAATAAAAAATAAATATCCAAGGGCATTAAAGTCATTTCAGTTTACCGAGGGGACCAAATCCGCAATAAAACTAACTCAAAAGAACCACCAATATAAAAAAAAAAATCGTGATTTGGACTAAAATTTCAAAAAATGCATAATACTATTTTTGCAATTTTGGCTAAATTATATTTGAATGTTTTGGATATTTGCCATGTGACAGACACGAAAGACAAAAGAAAACGTATATGGCTTGTATAAAAAACCCACCATTTATTTTTACTTACTAATTACACATCCTCTACAACCATAACACCCTAAAACACTAACGTAATTTTGAAGATATCAAATCTTTAAAAATCCTTTTTAATGCATAAGAGCAACAGCAGCTTCCTGCACCAATGGCTCCGTCATGTGCACAAAATGCTCCGCCTCCCTCTCAACCTCCTCCCTACACTTGTCAACATCTCTCCCTTCCTTCATCTTCTTCACAAATCCCACAAACTTCCTCCAATTCTCAGGATGAAATAAATCAGGATTCATCCTCAAATACGTAAAAGCACACATCTCATCATTCTCGGACAACGACGCAGCATTCAAGATCTGTTCATGTGCAAACTCATCATATCTAGGCAAAGCATTTTCTCCGGCGAGTTCCACCCCCGCTTCCCTGGTAGCCATAGCCACCTGTTGCACCAACTTTTCCGGCGAACACTGTGCGTCCTGTGGCTGTTCATGGTCACGCATCTCGATGCATGTGAAATTGAAAACCGCGCCATGGCGGCCAAGCATTTTGGCGATCGGGAGGTAGCCGTCTCGGAAACGGGTGTTGTAGTAGCCGGCGGTGAGCTCCGGCGCGTGTGAGCGTGTCCCGTAGTGCCAGTGGATTCCGGCGACTTTGACAGAGATCTTGACACCTAGGTTTTTGAAAATGGAGGTCGCGGAGGAGAGTATTCTTTCTCCGTGGTCTAGTAGCATTTGGGAGTACCAGGAGAGGAAGAAGTCGCCGTACTCGGAGTTCCAGCCACCGGATTCTTTTTTGAAGAAGTTGGTGTCCTCCGGCCAGTTGTTGTACTCTCCGGCGTCTGTTGGGCCGGTGCTGCCCCATTCTGGCTTACCATAGCTCTCAGCTGCAGCTTTTAAGCTACTCAACATATACTGCAACACAAACGTATTGTGTAATTATGTTAACTCGATGTTATTGATAACGAAAATGGCAGCATGTATATGCATCACTATATGTACCTTGTCGTAACACTGAAAGGCTCCGATTCCCGGGAACCTCCATACTCCGTCTTTCTCCGGGTAAGATGGGTATCGAAGCTCTCCGGCTGGACCCATTCCAACTTGAATTTCCTACATGGATTCCAACATTTGGGTACTTCAAAATTTATTTAATAAAATTACTGCAATAAAGTGTTGAGATCACAAAAATCGAAACACCCACTTGTGAATTGGGATATGAATAGATAAGAACAATTACCACGATGGTGTCACCAAGAAGATGACTGAATTTGTCTTTGAAAGCACGCATGTAATCCGAGTAGCACTGAATTGGAGTCCTGCCTTTGAGGCAGGGGATGGTGTCGCAACCAAGGGAAAGATATTCATTGTTTCTTCTTCCCCATTGATCTGTGTACGCAAGATCGGGGTCATTGTTGATCTCTTCTAACACCCACTTTGGAAGAGGAATCCTGAAAAAAAATTCATCAATAATCAGTTTACAATTTCAAAACAAGCAAACACAGTTTCCAATTGGCTTTTTGTTTAGATAAGTAATGGTTACTGACGTGAACGTTACTACTACGTGTAGCGTATGAGAAATGAAAGAAAGCAACGAAAGGAAGGAGAGAAAATGGACTTACGTGCAGGAATCACCGACGTTTCCGCCGCATTGATGGAAGGACATGACCGCCTGTACCTTTAGCCCATGCTTTTTGGCCATCTCTAACAGCTCCGCATAACCGCCCCAATTATACTCTCCGGGCGCCTCCCTCTCCACCAATCCCCACCACACATCCATCATTATCCCTTCTACTCCGGCGCTCTTCAACGCCTGTAAACTCGCATTCATCGCCTTCCTCCTATTCACTCCGTTCCCCATCGTTACACTATCTAACGGCATCATTACATAAACCGGAACCCCCTTCCCTTGCTTACCTCCAAGGCCACCACTTCGATGCTCTCTCACCACCACCTCCTCCGTCGGAGCTTCCATTAACGCTTGGCACGCCACCGACAGATCCGCTCTCATTCCGCCTTTCACCGGACTCATCGGTGGAGACGGCGATAACCTGTCCATCTCCGCCCCTTGTTTCTGTACCGATACACGGATATTCGCCGGTGGGGATCTCCATACAGCGGACGCACTGACTGCAGCTGTTGTTGACTCTCCTCCCGCCGTGTGACCTGAATCGGTTGCGATTGGAGTCCCAGACAAAGCTCCGATCTGGTTTAAACTCATCGCCATTAAATATATCGTTGAGTTTCCACAATAGTTGCGAAATCAGAGTCGAAAATCAAAATAAACCTTCGATTATGTTAAAAGATGCTTATAATTATACAAGTAAACCTTATAATGGCAATAATTTCTCCAAATTGTTACTAGTAAAGAGATTCGATGAAAAGGGGAAGTGCCGGAGTTAAGCGTTATATATAGGGCGACTTCGAGATTCAACAAGGATTACGTGAACAAAGTTTTACGATTAAAAAAAGATAAAACAGATAATCTTTGATAAACCTTTAAGTATGTGACACGTGTAAAGGAAAAACACGTGGAAATGTATGGGCCACGGCGGGGGCGACGGCTGTGATGGCCTGATCGACTTTTGGAGTCACGTGGAATGGACGGTGAGATGTGTTTCACTTGAAAGTTCCATGTGTACGCGCCTTGAATTCACAACAATGTCACGGATCGGGATGGTCGACACGTGGGAGTAAACGAATGGTGGCGATTGAACCATCAAACTGTAGTCGGCAAATGTATATGTGCAGATTTAAAGTATTTTTTCACAAACTATCATTCCACCTTAGGGAGTCCTTCCCTCGGAGGATGTCAACGGACCAAACCGGAGCGGAAATAGCTGTCCCCGCGCGCTTGGTCCCTGTCTTACCTAAAAAGACTATTATTTAAATAGGGAAAAACTGTGGGGTATGTAAGGTAAAGTGATTGGGGTGAGGTTGGGGGTGTGTTTATTTAAATAGATTAAAAAATCAATGGCAAAATAGTCTTTTTAGGTAAGATAGAGACCAAGTGTGTAACAAAAACAAACATTAGGGACCTTCCGAGTTAAAAAGATAAATTAGGGACCAAACGCGCAAATTACCTTAAACCATAGGGACCATTCGTGTAATTTACTCTAATTTTTAATTTTAAAATAAATACAAACAAATAAAATTTATATATATATATATATATATATATATATATATATATATATATATATATATATATATATATTAATTTGTATATTTTTGTCTAAATAAAATATGGGCCGAATGGATTGCATGGGCCGAATGCATATGTGTTCCTGATTATACTAAACCTAAAATCACAATATATATTAGTTCAAAAGAACAACACACTTTTTCTCTTCATATTTAGGGTTTCTATTTCTTCTCCTTCTTCAGTGAAATATTGTAAATCGTTAGAGAAAGTGTTGAGACCAGAGAAGGAAAGATTCACGGGTTAGTGAACCCGTTCCAGCTTCATCATTCTTGCATCCCGCTCAACCCGCCGGAGAAGGAACCACAAACCGACGGTACTGTCGGTACCGCCCCAAGCGGATCTATAACCCGTCGACGACTTCGTTCGGCCTTAGAGACGATTTTCTTTGGAAGAAATATAACATATTACGGGGCATTATAATATTATTATAATTAAATATAAAATGAATATTTTTCATTAGAAAAAAATATAATATATAATATATATATATATATATATATATATATATTATATTATATTATATTAAACAAATCAATATTATATATGTATTTTATATTTAATTATAATAATATTTTTTTTAATTAACGTTATATATATATATATATATATATATATATATATATATATATATATATATATATATATATATATAGAGAGAGAGAGAGAGAGAGAGAGAGAGAGAGAGAGAGAGAGAGAGAGAGAGAAGAGAGAGAGAGAGAGAGAGAGAGAGAGAGAGAGAGAGAGAGAGAGAGATATGTTCAGGTGTTTTAAATAAGTATTGTGTTATTGTATGCATGATTGTGGACCAATCAAAAAATAATAGAAAAAACAATAATTAAATAAATCAATAAGGGTAACTAGGTAATTTGAGAAATAACTTCCACAAATACTCCCTATAATTTTGCTAGTTACGTTGATTTTAACCTAATTCCCCCCTTTTATAAACGGCCTACTGATCTGATCAATCTTCATCACCAATCGGCTGGGAAAGAAAGCCATCGGCTGGGAAAATAAGAACAACGCAGAAAGTTGAATAAAAACGGCTCTATGGCTGGCTGATTCATCGGGCAAGGACGAGGGGAACAAAAGGAGAGAATGAAGGTAGCCAAAAGCTTGCAGGTGCGCTTCGTATTTCGATTTGCGAGGAGGGAGGA